CCGTCACGGCGCTGTATTGCTGATCGCTCGTCGAATGGAAACAGTCCAAGAATCCGCTGAACGGTATGGTACAAAAAGGAGAAGAGATCGGCGACGAACGGAAGGCGTAGTCGGAGCGACTCGGGCAAACAGAGGTCGGTCGTCTGGGCCACTGCGAGGCTGTGCAGATAGGCTCAGCCGCTGTTGCAACCCCACCCAGCCCACGCCTCTTGATCGTCGTCCTCCTTCCTTCGGCTGCTCATGTCGCTCGTCAACATCTCCTCGCCCTTCTGCCAATCGCACCTCTTTCCGCCATGCACAAAGTCCCATCCAAACGTCTTTTGCAGGAGGAGCGCAACCGCGTTCCTCGCGCTCACAGTTGACGTCTCCATCGTACTGATGAGGGTCTCGAACGAATTCAAAAAATACAGACCTCCTTCATCCACTTGTAGAGGTGGAAAGTCGCGAGTAGGACGCAGCTCCGGATAAGCGTCCCATTGTTTCCGGAACACCCAACGAAGATTGTTGGTGCCCATGATGGATTCCAGCTGCGTGTCGTTGAGCGCAGCTTTGGAAAAGATCTGCTTATCAAAAGTGGACTATCATCAGTCAGGCGCTCCCTGATGCAGTGCGTTCATGGAAAACATTGAGCTTGGTCGCACCTTGACGACGTGTTCTTCACCCGTCAACCTTCCGTCAGCCAATTTGCGCTCTGGCAGTTTCCTGAGGTACGAAAGGCTGTTGAACTGCATGGGGCATTTGCGAAAGTGTCAGCAACCTTTTATGGCGCCCCCACATAAGGGTTTGCGCAACGATGACTCACCTCGAGCAGCAGTCCACTATCTTTATCATCTCCACCAGGCCACCAGCCGAGTATCAAGCTCGCAAAGAATGACTTGGTGTATCTGTAGATGCGCAATGGCCGAGCGAGGCCAGCAGCATCCACAAAGTGTAAGTAGCTACCGGAGAAGCTGTTCTTGTCTTGCTTCTCCGTGTTCTGCTTCTGCGCCTTACGAAGCGCTGCGTGCGTAGTCAAGATGCTCGTAGGCACCGCATCGCTCTTTCCTCTTCCAAAGTAAGCAGGATTCGGGTGACTCGCGTTTGTTATGAGCAGCGTCACGTGCAGGTGCACATACGGCGGCGATGGAATGGTCGCGTGAGTGTTGATCAGAGAGATGTCTGCATTGTGCCAAGGCGTAGCGATAAAGACGCTATCATAGAGTCCTCCACCTCCCGTCTTGGTGCCAACCCACCACTTGGTCCCAGCCTCCTTGATCCACTTGGAATGCTTCTCAGCTTGAGTCGAAGATAGGTACCCAGCGTCGATCACTTCGGCCAGACTTCCAAACTTGACTATTCCCGTCACTTCCCCAGACGCTCCCAGGCGTAATTTCGCCGAGCTGCGCTTCAACATTTCCGAGAAGATCTGGTAATTTCCTCCCATGATGCCAGTCGCTCCTGACGCTGCGAGAGACACTCCACCTCCCAATGCGTGAATCGAGTAGATCTCTTGGCCATAATTGACCAGCGTGGCGGCTTCTACGACTTCCTCCACCACTTGGTCCCAGCCTCCTTGATCCACTTGGAATGCTTCTCAGCTTGAGTCGAAGATAGGTACCCAGCGTCGATCACTTCGGCCAGACTTCCAAACTTGACTATTCCCGTCACTTCCCCAGACGCTCCCAGGCGTAATTTCGCCGAGCTGCGCTTCAACATTTCCGAGAAGATCTGGTAATTTCCTCCCATGATGCCAGTCGCTCCTGACGCTGCGAGAGACACTCCACCTCCCAATGCGTGAATCGAGTAGATCTCTTGGCCATAATTGACCAGCGTGGCGGCTTCTACGACTTCCTCCACCTGTTGACCAACGCAGCCACGGTTTACACGCAGGAGCCATGTCAGATCTTCCCAAGGGCTTCTCAGTCGTCGTAAGACTCCAGACACTTACAAAGAGCTTGCTCACCCCTTGAGCGTAGAAATTGTCACCTGCATTATCCGCTACCAAATCAGTGAAGCCCAATGCATCGCTCAGTGATTGCAAATCGCTCCAAGGGAACCCGCTGACGGTTGAGTTTGGCTGCTTGCGCTGTTGAGCGCCAGGCTTGTGGAGATACACAGGATCGTACAGGCGCAAGAAGCGGCTGACGAGTTTTCCGACGCTACGGCATGCGCAGATGGGCGAAGCGGCATTCATGAGAGTGAAGTCCGGACACGCAGCGATTGTGCAACTGAATCAAAAGGCTGACCTCTGTTCTCCACTCACATCTTCTTGGTCGTGACGGGGCTGTAGCCATACCTCCAGAGCATGCGGGCAGAGTTCCACCAGCCGTCATCCAGGCCTTCGATGACGAATTGCTGCCCGTCCCAGATGCCCATCAATCCGTCCGGCTCTCCCAGAGAGGCGTTTGCATGCAAGCCAAATGACTGCTCGAAGAGGGGAGGCGATGCGTTCGACCCCGTGCCGCAGATTGATGAACAAAGCGGCGAGGCG